ATACCACATGAGCATCGCTTTCAGATCTTCCTCCGCAAAAGTACCCATCTTCGAAATAGATACCCCCATTCTGCCCGCATGATGATCGCTTGGCAACGACTTTCGGTAGATCTTGATTCCTGCCATACACTTAGCAACATAATTCTTCGGGAAGACAATCGTGACTTTGCGGTGAACCTTCTGCTTTCTCGCGAGGAGCACGATCGAAGTTGCCTTCCAAGTCGGTGGGTCTTCTGGCGTGATGCTGTTCAGAACTGGTAAAGCAGCATCTGCCATTGTGCTCTAGCGTCTTCCGAACAAGCGATAAGTCCTTACAGGGACGAGTCTTCCTTGAACTAGTTCGTTTGCCTCGGCGCTTGACTCACGCATACGAAGTCGTTTAGCTTCACGTACTTGTTTTCGACGCACCTTTGGCCTTCCCTTGCTTTTCACTGCCTTGCTGACGATAAATTTTCCTGTAAGTACTTCACTGCTGGAGCTATCTCTGCTGCTGTTGTACGCCGCTTACGAAGGACCAATTGGTTGGGAAATTTTACCAACTGGTTGTCATCTTTCACCAACTCGTTGGGGTCTTTCACTAACTGATTGGTATTGGAATCAGACTCGCTCAAAAGTGACTGGTGTTTCTCCAACTGGTTGGGGTCCTTAACCAACTGGCTGGGGTCTTTTACTAACTGGTTGGGGTCTTTTATAACTGGTTGGGGTCCGTATTAGACTCGCCCCTCGAGCCCGAATCCGAGTTAGTCCTCGCACAGAGATCTTCTTTGGGTTTCGCTGCTGCCTTGGTGGCGAGGTCGCGCTTCTTCTTTGCTTTGACGGGGCCTTTATTGGTCAGGTGGTGCTTCTTCTTTGCTTTGACGACGGCTTTGGTGGCGAGGTTGCGATTCATCTTACCCTTGTTTGCCGGTAAATCGTTATTGTCACTGTCAGAAATTTCCTCACGCGTTTCGCGAAGCAATCGGTCCGTGTCAGCAATTAACTCAGCACCTTCCACATCGACTGGCTTGGCGACACACGGAATGGCTTCAATACTACCGTCTCCAACAATTTCACCGGCATCCGAACCATCAACACTATCCAACTCCAATACACGATCGCTGTTTTCTGATGCTTGTGTCGCCCTTCGTGTTGACGGACAATCAGAATCATCCGAGTTCTTGACGTCCGACCCATTTTCACTCTTAGAATCATCCGAATAAGTGAAGTCTGGTCCATTTTCACCAGCTTGACAATTCAACTTCGCAGGTGAATTTTGATCAGATCCCGAAATGTTCGGTACATTGCCCTGCTTAACATATTCTCCAAACTCTCGCAACGCTTCAGCCATCTTTAGGTAAGTGGGAGTTCCTTGGGAGCACATCGCCTCCACGACACTGCCAGCAATATCCATGCCAGTCTTCCACTTCGTAGACCCATTCAAAACTGCATGTTCCACAGACCTCATATGCGAAGTTTGTAATCGAAGTGCAGCACAAGAAATATCATCGCCTGACTCGTCTTCCTCGGGCCGGTTTGCTTCGGACTGCAACAACCATCGTGTATGAATATAGTTCACAGGGATCACCTTCTTTTTGTCCATCGATGACCGTACAAACATTGTGTGATGGCACGGAAGCAACATAGCTCGCATGAAAAAGCAGGAGCATGTATATGTCTGCATGCAAAACACAAAGTATCATGAGACAACATCTACTAACCAAAAATATGCTACCACGCCGACTTACCGAAACATCAACAGTATATTCACTATCGGTTGTGAGCGACTTCAGACGGGCGATTGAATGTTGCAGCCACTTACCTTCGTACGAAACACTGCCACTCTTGAACAGCTCGTATTCCTTTCTAACCAACTCAAACGCGTGTGGGCTCACCAATGCTGACAACCGAAGCAGCATCTCATCTGCGCCATGATAATGTCGTGAGCCTAGAACATTAAAACGCGACGCATACTCCAATTCCGCTGTAGACTGAAGAAAAAACAGCGTTTCCACGCATTCGTCCAGCTCCATCTCTGGTCGCAGAATCTCTTTTAGCGCCCCCCACGCTGACACAAGTCTGCATCATAGCAACAAGCGAGCGATTAGTCTAATAGCAAAATCATCACGGCGAATGTACAACATACTTACCGGTTGTTGGTATGATTGCCAAGATGAGCGACATCACCACGCTCGTATATGCTCCACATTTCTTTACAGGAATGCCAGTTTCGAACAAAATATTGGAGCAGAGGGTGCTTCGGCTCAGGTAGCTCTGGTAGCTCTCCTACTTCATCGAATCCGTCCAAAATGTAGTACATGTTCCTGAAGCCGCGATCATACTCCTCTTTAGCTCGAGCCTTCACCATCATGTCGAGCGAGTCTTCGACACGATCCACATCCACGCCATGACGGCCGCCGTAGATAGCGTTCGACATCTCAGCACGAATATATTTCTTCAGATGAAAATGAAAAATCAATACACGAGCTAACGGGAATTCCTTTTGTAGAAGCGTGATCTCTCCGAAGTCCTTGTCGACCATGAAGGCGCGAATCTGGTCCCACGAAGAATTATTTTCCTTGATGTATTGATAGCATCCTTCTTGCACGCATGACTCTCGTTTTCGACCAATGCATGTTGAACATATTGACCCTATCATGAAAGAACCACGACGCAAGATGTGTTAATCACTAACCAAAGCATAGCAATTGTTATAGTCACTAATGCGTCCCCAACTACACCAACTGATCACTAACCATTTGGCAAAGTCACGAATTGATCACCAACTAATCGGGACAGAATGCAGTACTTACGTGGCCAAAAGTATCTTCGATCATGAAGCTGAAGAGCTTGTACTTCGCAGCGTTGGTTCCGTGGGTCGAATCCAGCAGCACCACTTCCGGAAAAGCTTCAAAGAATCGTTCCATTTGCCGTGTCTGCATTGTAATTGTCTGCGTTGTCTTCCTATCATCAACGAAGATGGAGGCAGTGTTCCCCCGAACAGAGCAAAATTTCCGCAGCACCGCCTCAAGCCTGTCTTCAACCGTGGTAGCGCCACGACGTTTTGCCTTTGATCTGCGGACCAAATTGTGCACGTCCCGGAGCGTCACTCGTTTGCCTGTCCAACTCATGTCATTAGAGCCACTGACAGCAAGATAAAGATATGCACTTCGCTAATCAAACCTGTTGTTTCCTGGAGATACTTGAAAATCTTTTTGGGCTTGGAGCCCGCTTTGACGAGCTCGTCGACGAAGTCCAGAACGCCGGGTTCTGTTACACGCCGAGTTGTCGGGTAGTTTTGGTAGACCTCACGCCGAAGTCTGTGGTTGTGTGTTCTGTTGTGTGTGCTCACATGCACCCGCCACGTGCCAGTTGTTGGGCAAAGCGTGACGGTTGCGGAAAGGTTGACGTCACAATTTGTGCTGTGGTCGATGTGCCCAGTCTGTTGTCCCTCCCCGCGAGGATTCTTCTCCCATCCATGCGTGCATACCAGCTTCTTATAGTAATCGCCAAACGCGTCCGGGATCAACTCCCTTTCCTTCCACCTTTTCTTCTTCTTGATCTTTTCGTTCCTCGCCGACGCCTTCATGCACGATCGAATTCGATAGAGCTGGGCAGTACGTGCTTCATACTCTCTCAGGTTCGCGAAAAACTCGTCCCACGTGTCGTGCCACTTTGCAAAACGTGGCGCGATTTCCTGGATCTCCTGCTCGTCGCTGTCGGATGAATCGACAGCAAAAATGGCCCCGCTAGCCCCACCTTCTTGTTCCTTTTCCGATTCTGAGTCGCTCATCATTTCTGCCGGTGTGTATTCAAGTTAGAAACACAATGCAGGGGTCAGTGGGTCACAGCAGAGATAGTACCTGTCGGCGCCGCGCAGAAGCGTTCCGGAGTGAGAGGAGGGGGGGGCTCAAGGGGGAGGCAGGATTTCGAAATGAAAGGCTGAGCAGACGCGCGCAATTTTAGAGAAACGAAAGTAGAGATTTCCGTATTTTACCGGAAAATAAAATACGAAGCCCAAGTGGAGGTAATTTCATCGTGTCCTGTCTCTACATTTTTGGTTAGGGACTGTAGCTACTCCCTAAGTACTTATTGGTTATAATATGATTTTTTTAGCCTCGTAGTGTTTTTGTAATTATTTTACCTACAATACGTTTTGCTTCGTACTGTTCTAAATATCTTTCAATTTTTGGTTGCAGCTTTTTGTAGTAGTAGTACGCGCTCTTATTTTATTAGCACTTGATAAATATACATAGTGCTATTACTAATATTTAGAGCTAGAAACTTTTAAAATATGACTATAAAAAAAGAACATCTGCCTTTGTATTTGCGTGTATGCCGAATACCCATAGTTGCGCTTTGTGGCCACGGCTGCTTTGGATTTCATGAGCGATGGCAGACACAAATTTTCGCTAAGTCGCCTCCACACTCAGTCAACATTCGTACAACGTCGCACTAAAATCTCTACAATCAGCTCATTCGTAGAGAAATCAGATCGTACTTAATATTTTTTATTTCGTACCTAAGGTTTCTAATACGTACTTAGCAGGATTTAATTACGAATCACTAACGAAAAACTAACCGGTTAGTGGTGGTTGGTCATTTTGGTTGGTGATCAATGGACCGGCTATGCAAACTGGTTAGGGACTCTAACACGAGCCAAGTACTAAAGCTCCATTTTAAGCCGAAATATAAGTCAGCAGCGTCTACAATTTTTTCAACAGCTCCTACGACGACATAGTACGCGTGTGCACATCAGCGCCTTCTACTAATGGGCTCAGCAGCTGCTGGCAGATACTTCGCGTGGTGTCGGCACCAATCGCCTTTTGAGCAGCACTGTTGGTCTGGGAAGATGTACTTACACATTGTTATTTCTATGTAATTATTTTTATCGCTCAAGATGAACTCACTATTATTTAGTCTCTTTAAATTGAGAAATTTATTTGTCAGAAATAAAAAAATTCCAATGGTGTGATCTGATTAGCTAAAATGCGCGTCGGTTATGAAAGTGATGTAATTCATCGTTACACCGACAATTTCCTTCGTGCGTGTCGATTTTCGGAGATACCGCACAGCGGGGGCATCATAATGTTGGGATCCTCTGGCGATGTTCGACGTCTTTTGCGATCAGCGTCCAGATAAGCTGTAGCCCCTTTCGTTCTTCGATACGTCGCAAGCTCTAGCGGAAAGAGCGCTTTGTCACAAAGCTTTCCTGGGGTGAAAAACTTGTTCAAGTGATCTGCTCGAATAACGCTCAGTCCATTGCCATCAATCACCACATCCAAAATGGGCATTTCCTTCGTCCATACGCCACAGCTCCTCTTGGACCTCTTTGACGTGGCTCGGGTACTCTGCTGGATTTTGACTCGGCATGTGCCTTGGAACAGAACCGTTTCCATGAAGGTACCAACTTCAAACTTGTACTTGGATGGACTATCCAAGATGTTTTTCCATCGCAATGCCAAGTGAGCACATTCATGAAAAATCGTTGCCGCCAACACGAATACAATACACTGGTACTCGTGCGAATTGTCTGCTTGACCCAATGTTTCCATGCGATGGAGTAGAACTTCATTGACGAAGATGACTTTTGCACTCGCGCTTCGATCTGTCCAGCCATAGAGAGATCCTTTCTCGGGTCGCCGAAACTTCACTTTGACATCACGAAGATTTCTTCTTGTCGTACTGTCTGCGCTCAAATCCAATTCAAAATATCTGTTGTGGGTCAACATGACGTTGGCAATCTCAATCGCTTTTTTCAGAAAAGGGGGGTAGCTAGCTTGAGCCGTCAATCTCAGCGCAGACGGTGCCTTCACTACCACGATGAGTGCACCTTTCTTCGCTGCGCCAAGTGCGTTAATAGGAGAATCCTCTTCCAGCTTCTGCTTCGCCTCGAACGCTGCCCCGTCCGCGAAGACAGTGAGGTCGGCCGCAGCAATCCCAGCCAGATGACTGTCTTTGAACTTTTCTTTTATCGCATCTCGCAGATCAACAACGACTGCATCGTCCAGGAGTGTCACGCGATCGACCGAGGTAAACGCCTTGCCATCATCACCAACGAGCAGGATCCATTTGTGCTGCATCACTTCTTCACGCTGCAAATTCGAGAATGACAGCAGGAGGTGTCAAAATAACCTCAGTTGAGGTTTTATGTTGAGTTCCTTTGTTTACTTTTACCTAGTATTTACCACATTTAGGTACACATGCTAGGCGACAGAGCTTGACATCCACGCTTAAAAACAACAGCAACAACCCTTAATATGCAAAATTTGCTAAATACGCTGCTCCTAGCTCTCAAACACTGACGGCACACATGTGGTGGATCTCGCCGAACAAGGGTCCGTCTCCAGCTCGTTGCCTTCCTGGCAGCCTCTTACCGCATAGCCCATACTTGGTTGACTCCGATAGCGCTACAATCTTATCTTTGTGTATTGCTCCACGCGAATCGGAGAACGGCGATGGTCTTCGAGCGAGATGCGGGAGCCAACCGCTGTAAAATTGCAGAATGATGGCTTGATCGAGGGTCCTAAAATAGTAGTACTAAAGTACTATAGTACCGCCTTGAGCGAGTGACACGAATGTATACCGTATAAAGTAACACGGTAGTAGTAGTAGTAGTAGTAGTAGAATGCTTTTTAGAGGAGTGATAGTAAAATGCGTAGGTACTACTTTGTAAAATGATATTAATTCCTGCATCCGTTATATTCTAAGAATTAGAGAAATAACTAGCTTTTTGTTTAAAGAGTACTTTTGAAGATTTGAATAATGTAGTACAGTCAGTACATGTACCGTGGCTGACAGTACGATACTGAACAGTACAGAGTACTATAATACTGCGGAGTGCAGTACACTGTATGCACACTGTACCGGTAATTGACGGCGTAATCTTCGCACGCCTCGTTCTTGTGATAATCACGCTTTTTCTTCCTTTTTTGTTTACCGGTAGCTTACAGCATGCTGTGCATTTACTTTTATTTACATCGCCACGTCCAGCTCAGAAAGAAACTGTTTATAACAGTACTAGGTAATAGCACACAAACCATCCGTTGTCGCTGCCGTGGTCATGCTGCAACATGCAGCGCAAGCTTTCCGCTGGCTGCAGGACCAACAGAGTGCTATCGTTCCATCGGAACTGGGAGTGTTTGAGTTTTCCGTACTGTGCTTTGAGCAGGTTGCAGTAGCTGGGGCCGTGATCAACTGCTTTCAAGCTCAAGATTCCAGCAATGGTGGGGACGCACCGCTCTCGCTCCCGGCGGTGATGGATCACGTGCCGCAAGTCATTATGGTCATCGTGGCGCTGAGTCTTTTCATCGTGTGGGGATCGAGGATCATTCAGTGGGGTCTGCGCAGTGCTTTGCTGGACTGCTCGTGTCCTGTGAAGCTCACTACCAGACGACGCTACCTACCGCCGGTGATTGCAGTACTCAAAGTTTTCTTCTTGCTTTTCGTGACGCTGCGTCTTAACAGCTCAGCCGGGTTGGAGTGGAAGCAACAAACAAGTGCACTCTGCAGTGCTCTCATTCTCGTCATGTGCGAGCTGGTTAATTCCGTAGCTATCGCGCACACGTGGTTGGTAAGTCGAGCACGCGACGAGATCATTTACGACTGGGGCGAGGAGGACACTTACGGTGACTGCCAAGCAGTTGATCCTCACGTTTTTCGACCGCTGGAAAGACTGCGGCATGGTATCCTCCTTCCTGAACCAGAGCGAGATGCTACTGCTACTTTCCGAGGTACCATCCATGGCTTGGGCCAGCTGAACATGCTGTCAGAGAGGCTCAACGCCAGAACGCCTCTCCTACCAACTTCATCGATACGTGACGATCATGACAATTGTCATGGGGCATGAACGTTGTCGAAGTGGCTCCAACCTTGAACAACGATATTGTTGGCGCCGTCGTCTTCTTAGTAGCGGATATCGTTCTTACTGGGTTGCGGCTGTATGAAGCTCGTCATCGACGTCGTGAACGGAGGCGTGTAGCGAGGGCTAGACGACTAACTATGACGCCCACTAATGCTGGCCGAAATCCTCAAGCGAGTGAGCTTTTTGCGAGCCCCGGCAAAGCTAGCACATGCAATGAGCCTCGGTTTGGAGGCACTGAGGTTGCAACTCCAGGTATGTGTCTGGAAGTGCACAACAATCCACATCACATGCTACCAGAGCGACGTGACGGCGTCATCAAGCAGTGTCTGGAGCTCAAACGATTAGGCCTTTGGAAGGAAATCACTCTACATGGCGTTTTACCAAAGGACTGGGCCTTTGCCTGCCTTGACTGCGCATATTCAGTGCTGGTTGTACTCAATTTCTACGAGACCACCGACGCTGCGGATGTACAGGTGATGGAAGAGGTGTCGAGTGGGCTCAGTGAGGATAAACTCATGGACAAAGTAGACAAAAGTGTACAGTATCTTGCGGTTGGCTTCTCCACAGTGCTGGGAATCTCGCTACTCGCTCGGTGGTTTGTCTTGTACTCGTCGAAACGCTTGGACGAGATTGCATGGCCAGCAGCACACAACAACACTGTCATCCCGAATTACTTTGCAATTGGTGTCGTCGTCGTAAAGCTGGCACTGCTACCGGTCTCCATTTGCGTCTTCGCTGTTGTCTTCGTGCAAGACAAGTTATTCACGCCAAAACAAGGCGTCAACGCGCTCATCGCGGATCTAATCTGCGCCATTGCAGCCGCACGAGCAGTGGACAGCCTGGGACGAGCTATGCAAGGGTTTGGTCGGTCCGCAGTTGGCCTGCCTGGAGCTGACGCCGTGAGAGGTTCCAGACACGAGAAAGCAAGTATCGCGTTGCAAGTGTTTTGGGACCGATTCAACGACTTCCTCGTGCCGCTCGGCATCGTCCATCTCGTCATATCAACGACGGACGTGGGCCAAAACTTCATTGTCGTCTATTTTCTCATCGTGGTCTGCGTCCTACACGCCATGATCGCATACGTCGACGCCGTGGATATCACCAGCGCGACATACCTGACAGAGCGACTCGGATATCTCGTAGCAGTCACGTTTCTCGTTCGCTACTCGTCCAAGTATATTGAACGGAAAGGGATAGATCTGTTTGCGCCTGTGCTTCTGGTAGCCATAGAATTTATGCTCTTGGTCGTGGCACTCAGTACGCTTTGGAGAGCACGACGACAAGCGCGTCGAACTTGCCAGAACATGGAGAAAGAAGATGTCAACGTCTCGACAGGTCGAGCCATGACCCGAAGCGTGCCCATGCTGGCCTCTATGAGCAGCGATTATTCGGTTCTCAGCCCCGATGCTACTGTCATGGGCGATGTCGTCTACAATGAACACAAAGAGGAAGTATCTCCTCAGGATTCATGTCGAAGTTAGCTTTCATTCCTTGCTTCAAAGTGCCGTTTTAAGATCAGGTCCACTATTCGGAGCGAACCTTGTCACAGATGGAAAATTCCTGAAAATCAGTTCAGACAAACTCTGCATCGCCTATTATAACATGTACGTACTTACTGTGGGCAACAATTAATTATGCAAGAAAAGATCGCCTGCTATCGACCTGCGTGTTGTGGCAAACACTTCTTCGCCTCCACCTCCACGCCTTGACTCATTCCATCGCTTCAATGTCACAATGGTGACAGCATCTATGAATCGCCTCCAGTGCTGATTTGCCGAGAAAAAGGGCGTCGCAGTCCATCAGTATCCGCAGCGCAGAGATCCTGGCGCTGTGCATTGCAGCCAAAAATTGTGCCGCAGTCCGGGCTGGCCAGAAAGTGATGCGCACTTATCTTTTTTTCTGCTGAGACGCGCGGACAGAAACTTGCGAGGCCATGAAGGTCATATCCGCGCACGTCACTGGCTTTTATCGCTCCTCCTTCCACGCGTACACGACCGAGGTGAACGTGGACGGCCACCGTTGGCGCCTCGGACTGCGTTACAGCAAGTTCCATGAGTTTTACGGGGAGCTGGTGGCCAAAGACTCGGATTTCCATGCCGAATTCCCGCCGAAGGGCACGCTCTTCTTCACGCCCAAGCCTGAGGAACGGCAGGAGCAACTCGACGTATTTCTGCAGCAGGTGCTCGCCTACTACGCCGCCAAAGACCACCCCACTGAGATCGAGAGCTTGCTATGCGACCTGCTCAAAGTGCCACGCCATCTCAAGTCCCCCGAACACGAGGACGACGATGTCTCCACCAGCACCGAGAGCGTTCTAGATGACCCGATGCACGAGCCTCCATCGGGTTCTGACAGTACTGTCTCGGTCGAGAAGCTGAGTCGGAAGGAGGAGGAAAAGTTTCAAGTTGCTGATATCAACTTAAATGCACAAGTGCCAGTCCAGGAAACCATGCCGGAATCTCCCGTCGCGACGAAAGAGGAAAAGGCCGTTGCTTCCCCTGAACCGGTACAACCTGTTAGCCCTGTAGCTGAGGAGCGTCACTCAAAGGAGGAGACTGGGGTTCCAAGTGCCCGCGATGAAGTAAAGGTTGCAGTAGTGGCGCCCACATCTGCGGAGGAGACAGATACCGAGAAGGAGGTGGTTGAGAAAGGTTATGCTGCAGCTGAAGAGGTAACGGTTCGAGAAGTGGAGGCAACGCCCATTGCACCAGAGATCTCTGCTGAGGAGCAGACCAACTTGGCCACCAAGGCCGAAAAAGCAGCCGAGGAGCAGCACATAATTGTTCCTGAAAACCAAGCAGCAGATGATGTTGCTGAAACTCATCCGGAGAAGGTTTTTCCTGACGAGTTACCGGTTGCTGAGCCCATTGTTAAGGAGTCGGCACCAATGACACCGCGGGATGTTGAGCAGCCAGCACCACGCGAGAGCCATTCGCTAAAAGACAATGTGGAGCAGAAAGAGCTTGCCGCCAGTGGACGCGTGTCGACCTGGATCGCCGCGTATTTACCCAAGTCGCTCCTCGGGTTCCTCCGACACCGCTGCATGAAGAAGACAAACCTGGTGATGCTCTGCGTCGCGCTGCTGCTGCCCATGGTGCTCGCGCGCAGATAAGTTGGCCGAGCGTTGTTAAATCGGGTGGTCGAGCCCAGTATACTATTTGTTGTTTAGTAGCAGGAGGCGACAGCTAGCATGCTCCGAAGTGGGTGACGCAACTAACTACGCGCGTCTCTACTAAATAGAGCTCGAGTAACTTAGCTGACGCGCTTGCTCTTGTGCATTCTTTTCAAAACACTGCAATGATCCATCGTATGTGAATCACCCGTCACAGATTCTGGCGATCGCTTCAACTTGGACAATTCACAAACATATGCGTTTGAGACAGCTTCAACATGTCACCCTAAAGACAACGGGAACGGCGGCCGCAATTCACTCGCTGCTGCGCGAGGACAGACGTGGGGCCAAACGGTAAACGAACCCCATGCGGCAATCTTCGTGCGCCTTTCACTGTTACAGCTTTTAGGTTAGTGTGGTCGTTTGCGAAATGATACAACATGTATTGCCTTGCTGGCCGACTCGGCCAGCAAGGGCGCCTCCGCGGAACGAATCTCATCGAGGATCCGAGAACTTCAAAGCACTCAACAAATCATTTGAAAAAATGCCACAAAGTTCGCATAATCGCCCTTCAAAAAATGTTACGAATATATTGCGCACGTGGAAGATGCCTGTTCGCTTTCAAGATCCGTTCGCAGCATCGGTTCAGAAGGCGAAAAAACTAGGCACCTGGGTTATCCACTCGGCAGCGGCGTATGAGCAAAACTTCCACTCAGTTTGTGATCTTCTAGATTGAGCCGAATCGGATTACAAGACACAGATAAGCTGTGGACACGGAAGTCTTTGCCACCACGACTGCCATGAGAGAGATTGACGCTCGCGTCACCGGGTTCGAGTACACGACCTTCCACGCCTACACGACCGAGGTGGAGGTGGATGGCTGCACCTGGACACTGACTATCCGCTACAACACCTTCTACCAGTTCTACACGCGCCTCGCCGCTCTCGAAAAGCACTTCACGGTGGAGTTTCCGCCCAAAGGTGGAATTTCCTTCTCACCGCCGCCTGAAGAGCGCCAAGAACAATTAGATGATTTCCTGCTGAGCACGCTCGCCTACTTTGACATGCGGGGCCATCCGAAGCGCATGCAGGCGCTACTAGGCGAGCTGCTGCAAATCCCCGAGCATTTGGGCTACAAGGGCGACGACGAGGAGCGAACGGCCAGCGAGGGCAGCTCCGTGACCGAGGAGCTCCATTTGGACACGCCTATGCCCGGCCATGACCTCGAGAGCTTTCAAGAGAGTGAACACGAGGACGATGATCACGATGTCCAAGGGAACAATACGACACCACAAATCGTCGCAAGGGACCAAGTTGAAGACGATGTTGAAGTGAAGAAAAAGGTTGAGGTTGTTGAAGGAGGCAGTCATGAATCTCCGGCCGAGCTTGATACGAACCTGAAAGCTATCACGGCTGCTGCCGTCGACAACCCCTTACCAAGATCGGAGGTGAAGACTTCCGGTAGTCCCGTTAAGCGACGGCAATCACAGGAACTGACCGGAGGTGTCGTTGCCAAGGACTACATCGCGATGCTTCGTCGCAAGCCGCTAGTTAACGGAGCCATACAGGCTGCTGTCGTGTCAGCCATGAAAGAAAACGTCGAGAAGTCTAAAGCAGATAAAGTCAAGAAGGCCGCTGAGGATATTAACGAGGCCGTTTGTGATCCCCCTGCTCCAGTGATCGAAGAGGGAAAGCGTTTTGCACCCGGGAGGCCAGTCGTGCAGACCGAGAGCATAATCGCAAACACGGGGATGGAGCCGGCGGTCGTTGGCACTCCAGTGTTCGACAACATTTTGCCTGCATCGGACGAAGCGGTTGTCGAGGCACATGAACCGATTGAAGTGGCTAGCGTCGAAAGCCCCACGGAGGCTGATCTTAAGGAGAGATCGGCTACGGAGACCGAGCAGGACACCGCAGTGGAGTCGGCTGTGGCTATAACGCCAGAAACGGAAGAAGCTGAACCGAAGGCGGCAGTCTCTTTGGAATCTGCACGCGAGTCGTCATCGGAGAAGGATACGGATGTCGCATCGAGCAAGAAGGAAGCCGATTCTGAGAACCTTGTGGTGAGCTGGTTTCGCCGCATAGGCACGTTTGGTTCTTCAGTAGCCGAGGAGCAGGACGCCGTCACTAAGAAGGGACAAGAAGAGAAGGAGACTGCAACTCGAGCCATTGTCGAAGCCATGGCACGAGAAGAGGCGGCAGCAGCCGAAGCGAAGGCGAAGCTGGAGGCTGAGGCCAAGGAAGCGGCAGAGGCCGAGCTCCTGCGCGCCAAACAAGAATTGAACCTGCGTCTGATGCCATATCGGCATCCTGTGTTCTTCCAGGAGTTCACCTGCAATTTGGGCACGTCGCGCTATTCATTGACAGAGCGCCCCAGAGACAGCATCGTCGTGTGAGCCAGCACTGTCGGAGAGCTGTAACATAATATGAATTAATAATGTAAGTACGGTAGTGCATCCATCGTAGTTGCTGCCATCACGTCAACACTGACAGTGGCAAGTGGATGATGCTATAGTACACGCTGAAGATCGCGCTCACCCACACGTCTAGTACAGTAGATCGCAAATGCCTCTCCATCTGGTCACCGGACAATTTCGCGTGCAGGTGCCGTGCCAGCAATTCGGTCTGTCGTGCGCGTGTGCTGAGCACACTGTGCTCTACATATTAAAAAATGTAGCGTTCGCGGAAGATTATCGCGGGCAGATGCGAGCTGAAAGCATTGGTCGCCGCGGCTCCGAACCCAGGCAAACAACGCGTCTGCTTTGACAAGAGTACAAGAGTCGGTGTCTCATGGAGGCTTTAGCCCCGTTTTGCTCGCCGTTCGCTGGCGGAACCAGCCCAGAAGCTTCTCGTTATCACCAGCTCGGCCCAAACGGCCCCGACAATCGAGTCACTCGGGGCCCGAGCGGCAATTCATGCTCTTCACAACTTGTACAGTCGAAGTGGTTATTACGGTCGATGAGGTTTTGTGTTGAAGGAGATACATTTGTTCACGATTCGGAACATCAGACCTTGAAGATCACACCACGTAACGTGGCCACCATCACCTAAACTTGTAAAGTCTACCGCAGTAATGTTTGCTTGCTTCCGAGCTGTCTTCGAATAATGTGCGGTCAGGAAGCGGCCGAAGTCCAAGAACTCCAAAACGGTCTCAACTGAGACCGCAACAGCTCTCCGGATAGAGATCTTCGACTCGAAGCGAAGTTCGGCTTCATCATCCACGGATAGGCAAAAACTATCTACAAAGCTTCAGTTTGCTGGGTGCCGTGTCAATTTTAATAACTTCAGTGTAAATGACAGCAGTAAAAGCGATCCAGCTCCGCGCAGCGCGCAGCGCACAGCTTGGTGATGCTTCTCAAGGTGCCCTGATTCAGGATAGCATGAATGGCAAAAACGCCGCTGGCAATTTGCCGCCAGTGGCAAACACCACAGCCGTGCTCTATCCGAGAGCTTTTTGCGCGAAGATGGTCCCGAGGACAAAATTTTTGGCCAAACGAGGCAAAGACCAGGCTTTAACAATCGCTAAAAGCTCGATACCATACAAATGCCATACAGTCACAACAACTTGGCAAATCTAAGTGCGGCCACTTTTTGCGCTGCTCTGAAGGGAAAACGTGCCGCGCGCATGGTCTCTAAACAACCAGCTTAGCCGCCGTACCTTCGCACCTTTGGCGCCATTCGAGATTCTTCTGCGTGAAGCGCACGTGGTAGTCAATAATGGCGACCAAGACGACGACGGCGACCAGGCCCTCGCTGGCGACGCTATCGGCACACGTCACTGGCTTCGACTTCACGACATTCCACGCGTACACGACGGTGGTGACGCTGGAGGGCTCCACGTGGACGCTGGCTATCCGCTACAGCAAGTTCCTGGCCTTCTACGAGGCGCTCAGGGCCACGGATCGCAGCTTCAAGTTCGACTTTCCGCCCAAGGGCGGATTCTTTTTCACACCCAAGCCTGAGGAGCGCCAGGTGCGGCTGGATGCGTTTCTGCAGGCCGTGACCAAGTTCTACTTGGCCAAGAAGCAGCCGCAGAGCTTTGCCAAGGTGCTGCGCGAGTATCTGCAGGTGGATAAGAGCTTTGCCAAGGCGAAGAAGATTTCGGCCAAGAAGGAGGACAAGCTGCAGCAGCCTGTGGTAGAGCCACAGCCCAAGAACGAGACAAAGGTGGAGAAGGCTGCACAGCCCAAGAACGAGACAAAGGTGGAGAAGGCTGCACTGTCGGACAAGGCCCAGGAGGGCAAGAAGGCTTTGGTCAACGCTGCCTTTGGGGCTGCTGTGGTGTCGGCCATCAAGGATAACGCCATGGACGCCAAGAGAGACGAGCAGAAGAAGGTTGAGAAGGAAGAGCCGAAGGTTGAAGTTGAGGTCGACGCGGCGAAAGAGGTGGTGGTGGAAGGAAGCAAGGCTAAAGGAGTAAAGATTGAGGAGGAAGCCAAGATTGCAGAGATCCAGATTGAGGAGACAAATACTGAAGTAGAGAAAGTTAAGTCGAAGAAGGAGGAGAGCAAAGTTGAGGAGCCCAAGGTTGAGGTGCCCACGGCCACTGACGTCAAGTCGAACACTTCGACAACTACAACTACGACAACTACCACGACTACCACGACGTCCACATCGGGAGGATCCACCGTTGTGGAGACCAACGTGACGAGCCAGCCGACGGTCAACAAGACGGTGGTAGGCAAGACAGTGACGATCACGAGCAAGTCGGACGACTCACACTCGTTCAAGGTGGAAATGACGGAGAAGAAGGCGTCGGTAGTGACGCCCACGCCTGCGGCCACGCAGATGGAGGAGACTTACGAGCTGAAGCCCAAGAAGAAGAAACGCAGCAAAAGCAGGAAATCCATCTCCAAGGCACCGACGTCCACCTCGTCGACGGCGAGCGATGGCTTCGAGTCGCCCGATGGTGTGGACGAGGTCTCTCGTGTCTCGCTCTCAGAGGCACAGAAGAAGACGCGTAACCAGCGCCGCAAGGAGAAGCGGAAGAAAAACCAGAAGAAAGTCAATGCCAGCGACTTGGAGGCGTAAGCGGCGGAGCATTACCGAAACGAATGTGTCGTGGCTGCAGATCGTAGCGGCCAAGTAGTTAGGTCAGAAATCTATCGACAACGGAGAGTGGACAGCAGCTCGCCGCCACAGGCGCGAGCATTGAAGGCGTGGGGCGCTTGCTGCTCTTCCGATAGATCTAACGTTAGGTGGATTTTATAAGTTGATGGCAATCAATTGTGCAACGAAGAAACACCCAACGACCAATTTATCACGACTGCAACACGAGTCCGCCATATAAAAACTGCGGGTCTTTTCTGTCTTTGTTCAAAAGAACCGGAGTGACATTTCCTTGAGATCTCGCACTTCAGTCTGCAACTCGAGGCGCTCGTTGCACTGATCCACAAAGAGTATTTCAAAAGTTAGCTGCGATGAGCCACTCGCACAGTGTTGTTACGAGGACGTACCATTGCCAAGACTTCCTTGCGAAGCTCGTTTATACGCTTCTCGTCACGCTCGCGACGTGATTCGTAGTGCTGGAACTGCTTGTACAGCTGGCTGTCCTTGTCCGACTCGAGACGTGTCAGTCGCTGCCGGAGCTGAGCCATTTCCCGCTCCAGCGTCTGGATCTGCGTGTCCTTGATCTCGAGGATCTTGTGGACTTCACTCACGCTAACGGTGTCGCGCTGTTGCTGCTTCTCCATCTCGCGGAGTTCTCGAACAAGTTCACATTTGGCAGTCAGTTGTCGCTCCAGCAACAGATTTCCTTCTGTGAGTGCCGCCACCTGTGCTCGCAGCTCGAGCACATTAGCAGCATGTTGTTGGTTAGTAGCTCGCAATACGGCGACGATATTCTCGTGGCTGGAGCGCATGACGCTGATCTCTCGCTCCAATTCTTCCACTCGAGACGACCGAGTTGCCGCGTTTGCGGTGCTACTGGAGATCGGCAACTTTGGCGGCGATGGAGACGAATTCGAGAACGAGCTGCAGCTCGACCGACGCTCGATAGGGGACCGTCCTACGTTCATGAGCCGGAAGAATAGCGGTCTCTCCCCCGACCCAGCTTCATCGTCCACTAGCTTCTTGTCCGGAGAAAGCGACTCTACTGCCGTGACTTCGTGACGAGCACGCGGACTTCTTGGTGGAATTATGGCACTAACCCGTGGCTCGAAAGCCGACGCCTTACTAAGAGGACCAGGCACGGTGTTACGCGTTGGCGACGCTTTGCTACCGTTCAATATACCGATGCGGTTGGGCGTGCTTTCAGGTGATGGCGTTGCGGGGGGGGCTCTGCACATCGATTGAAGGAACTCGGAAGCTACTCGATCGCCCTAACCGAAAGGAACTAGTTCTGTCGGGTGAAGTTGTTTGACGGTCCTCGCCTAAGGTATCGGTGTCCTCGATAGAACCGATTCGATTGGGGTCATGTCGTGGGGTAGACACTGGTGAATCGCTGACATTGCTGTCATCAGCTACCGCAATAGGTGGAGTGTGAAGAGAAATTATGCGTTTGAATAGAGACTCGCTCTGAGTAGCTGGCTCGTCCGTTGGTATAGTGCGGGTAGTTACCACTGATGCCACAGCGTCACACGAAGGTACGCTATCGAGTTGGCTTGAATAAATCTGAGCGTCATCTGCTCTCAAGACTTGAGCATCGTTACGCTCGTCTTCAATAGTTGGTGCAGCTACAGATTGTGATTTCCACTGAGTCGCGTCAAATCCAGCGGGCAAGATCTCATTCAATTGTGAATGGATGGTGTTCAGCGATGCCGAAGGAGTCGATACCGCATCTTGAGTAGTTACTGAGGTGTCCGCGGTTTCCTCTAGCAACGCGAATTGACTGACAGGTGAGAGCTGGTAGCTGCCGAAGCGGTTTTGCGATGACGGAGACGTGGTCTCAGCTGTTCGAATAGATGCCTCGTTGTCTTCTGAGGACAACACCCTAAAACTGTTAGCTCGTCGAACGGGAGATGGCTTGGATGACAACGACTCCCTTCTTATGCTCTCAGGTGATGCCGTTGTAATAGTAGTAGTTGGGCTTCTGGAGCTTCCAGGGATCGGAAGACCCTGAGAGAAGGATGAAAACCGCCGGAATGGCGATGGAGGCTTCAATCCGGATCTCGCTGTCGGAGACGACGGTGAGCTTGAGACTGGCGACGTGAGTGGGCTCGACTCCCTGCTGCGACCTGACCCTGTCGTCTTGAGAGAAATAAAGTCAAGCTGCTTTCGGAAACCCTTAAAGGTTCTCATCGTAGGCGAGGTCGAATGGTCGGTGTTAGTCGAAGCAGGATGGACGATGTTCGAATTCGCTTCTTGCTGATCCGCCGACACATTGCTGCTATTGCTGCTGCTATCATCAGAGACGGGGGAAGGCGGTCCCTTGAGTATGTTGCCTGGTTCTTTGACGTAGTTGATCTCTTTCCGCCGCACAAAGATGCCGTGATTTGTTGGACATTGGAAGTATCGCTCTTTCCCCTTCATGCCATCACAATCGCCTTTGGGCTCGTCCAGTGCGACACCGTACCACTCACCCGATTCGTTTACGAGTTTTCCAACATACCGCACCGTACCGTTGCGTCTTCGGAAGAGCAGGACTCGGCTACCAAGTGGTACTTTCATTACAGGGGACATTCCTTGAGCCGCTGTCATTGATGCTCGTGGCTTTGGAATACTTGATGCCATGATTAGGAGCGATGGGAACACGCGCGTAGCTCGGTGCGCTCAAGCACTCGAAGGTTCTGTCGATTTTATACTTATTTATAACTACGATGGTATCTGGGCTCAAATTCGATCGTCCTCGAGGTGTCACCTAGATGCAATGGTGCTGGTGTGTAGGCAATATGGGCTATTTCCACGGATTCCCTATTTTCAGCGATGCGACCTCTATGTCATCATCATTGTTGTGACGTGTATTGCGACTCAAACTCTTTTACTCGATCTTCTATTTTTTACTGATCCGCCAGAGCGACGCCGGTACTGGAATTCGATAGTGAGTTGCTTTGCTTGCCGCGGTTCATCCGTACTGCGAGGTATGAATGAACCGCTGGTTTCTTCAGCAACGATTTTTGATCCAATGAACAATTCTTCGATGAAGGTTACCCAAACCTGAGTTCGCGAGCTTTTTGTAAAACTTCGCACCTAAGCGCAAAGCCGCACGATTCATTTAATGACACGGTGGCTACGTCGGGATATCTTGAGCTCAGTAGGTGCGCACGATAGCCCAGTGTTATTAATAACATACAATTCCGTTGAAGCGCACCGATTCACGTTTACGAGAACAGCAACTGACGCGTAATTCATGGGTAATAAAACCTTGCGAAATACCATATGAAGCAATTTATCTGGTTAAGCTTTTTATATCAACCAGCTTTATCGTCAAGGCACGCATGTTATTAATACGAAGCTGGAGCAACCGAGCCACGGTACTCGCTTTTTCTGGATCGATCTACTTCTAGCCAGCAGGCGCGAGCACGGTTTAACGGCTTACCGACACTACCTGATCAAATCTATCATGGCTCACTTTGAAACAAATTTGGAAAGCAAAAACAATTTCATCCAAGACATCTGTCTCTTCTTTGTCATACTTGTTTCAGAATGAAACCCAAATTAACCACCCATAACCATTTGGTAATCCAAATTTTAGATTACATTGTCAGCTCCTAAACTTTTCTAGGACTGTAGAGCCAGCTGAAGCGCACGGTAGTGCTCAAATGCTTTATGACTTCATCATTTTGGCAGGTTCAAAAGCTCCAGTCGGTGATTTGCGTACCCATATCCATTAGATAGCTCAACCACGAGGCCAACTCTTGAACTTGGCATCGGTCCCCTATTAAGTACCGAAGCAACTGTACTAATGCACGTGCTGCTCTCGAACGAGACGCGGCGGCAGCATCATCCTAGCTTATCAAACTACAGTATTGGCACGCTGCCAATACTGTAATTGCCAGGCAGCACCAATCGCTCCTCACATTACGTATGTTTTGTTCTACACATGACGACCAAGACTGTACTGTAAGCGATTTCCGCGATTTCACGTGCACTATGCATCGTCTCTGCTAAGCCGCCGCACTGCTGCCGAGCCAACTCGCAAGTCAAATACTGTAACAGCAAAGCCTGCACAGCATCTCCACGATGCCGTCTGGATAATCTCCATACACTGTTCAGTACAGTACAGTACAGTACAGTACAGGCAGTCCGTAATTAAGGGTGCGGTCGTCGTGTCTTTACATCGTCTGGCGCTAACCTTCATACTTTAATTTAGCGCAAAACTAAATGTCCAATTATCAATTTTAAGCATCGAAATCTCGGAGGCTATAATATGTGAAGGTTTCCTAGCTGTACGGAAGATTCTACTTTCAAAAGTGTCATATGTAATTTGATAGGCTTCTATTTTTCTTTCCAATGCTCCTCTTAAATAGAATTTGGCATGCAAGAATAACCCCCTCCTACAAAAATTACCGGGGCGTTCTACTTATTACTCAGCGGCACTCCACGCCGCTTGTTCGTTCCTCAAAAATGCACTCTCCCAGCCGCTTACGCCCTGGCCCACGCCACGTTCCCCGCTGGGACACGGACGCGGACGATGATGAGGGCGATGCTTTCCTATCTGCCACTGACCTGGTCAAGTCGCTGCAGCCCGTGCCGCGCCGCCCAAACCCGAACCGAGGCCGCCCCATGGCCGACCGCGAACCCCCCGCTTCGGCGTCACGCCACTGGGCCCCGCGTACGAATAACTGTGACGCCCCGCGTCGTTACATCCATATTTATAAATTCTTTATTATTTTGTCTTTGGCAGCGTCGGAGTCTCAGCAGCCATTAAGATTCAACGACTGGCCCCTCGACGGGTCGTCCGGCCATCACGAAGACCCGAGAGCTGCAGCTTCATCCATGGACTACCGCTCCAGGCCGCCCAAGGGAGGAGCTACCCCCATACGCGGACCCAGAGGCTACGGAGGAGACCAATTGGACTTCGACCCGGGCGTACTGCAAGACACCGACGAGTACGAGACCAACAGGGCCAGGGCCTTCCAAATGGGATACGACGTCGAGCCGAGACACAGTCAAGCTCAATTGCAACGGTATCACCAGCAGAGACAGCAACGAGAATTTGGACCCGAGTCGTCTTCACAGCTCTACAGACGACCGTCAGCCCACCCAGAGCACGAACTTTATGCTCGAGAGATGCGAGGCCGAGAACCTATGAACGACATGCAGTTCGAATCTCAAGGACACGCTCCACGCGCCACTCCGTCGCGTGACAATGGATTGATGAGAGACACGCACGCTCGAGCCATGCAGAGTCGACGCTACACTGGGGCACACAGCCCTGGGTTTGGGCCGAGAATGGACGATATGGCCTTGGAGCCAGCTATGCTGGAGATGTATTCAGAGGAGATGGAGACAGCGCCCCATACTGCAGCGCAAATGGCTCGACGACGCGAGTCTGCACAGCCACAGCAGCATCCGACGCGGCAGCGGATGCCCCAGCAGATGCCGAGAAGACCACACGCTGGTGAACGCCCGAACGACGAGGTGATGGCCAGCAGACGGCCATTCCACGATCCAGACATGCCTCGTGACCGACGCGGCGGGGACAGCCGTGCACTGTATGAAGAGCTGGCTCCTGCCCCGACGAGCTCAGCTGTCGCGAAGAGCAGTCATTATGGAAACCTCGGGGCTACCGGTACTGGCAACTCGGATGCCATCGCTCGACAGCGATTAAGCCAGCCGACTGGACGCTTACAGCTGACTAAGCGATCCCGATCGGATGACTCGCCCTCAGCGTCGACGGAGGTGCTTGGCCCTGTAGATGCAGCAAAGAAAACCGGCACTGCGGCTAGCACGTCTTCCGACGGGAAGGAAGAAGAAAACCTACCAAAGCGTCGCTGTGGACGCAAGAGCATGAACTATTCGTCCGAACAGAAGCGCGAACGCAACCGGGCAGCTGTCAAGAAGTGTCGCCAGCGCCAGGCATTGAAGTTGGAGTATTTGCAGCACAAGGCGGAGTCTCTCGCGGCGGAGAACCAGGCTCTGTCCGAGATGCTGGTGAAGAACGCCGCGTTGGATGAGGAGCAGCGCACGTCCTTGACCCGCGGGATTCAGATGGATATTTTGCTCAAAATCAAGGAGATCTTCACGCAGAGTCTGCCCAAGGACTTTGTGCTGGACGCCGACTCGATCTGGGACCTGAACTCCGTGTTGGCCGTGTCGATGCCGTCGCGCTGCTACTACGGCATTGAGAGCATCAAGGACTTCTGGCGCACTTCTCTGCGTATGCGAAACAAGGGCAAGATCCGATCGTTCTGGGCCTGGCTGTTCCGCTTGCCGCCCGGCGACCGGTTCTCGGAGTTTGACATCCAGCCGTTCTCACCCACGTCCAGCCTGTATTTTATTTCGTGGACCACCAAGTCGACGCCCCCGCTAGCTGGATCCATGGTCATCATGTTCGGCAATGGCCACCGCGTGACGCTCCATGTCGAGTGCTTCGGCTGGCTCATTTGGCGCTACTTGCTCACGAACGAGCCGTTCCCGGAGCCGACGACGGATTAGCTGAAGATATGAGTACTGTAGTGCCCAGGATGTTGGAACGAGGACGACTTTCGGACAGACACAGAGAGAGAGAGAAAGTTCCAGACAGCGAGCAAAGATCACGCGTTGAATGTCTAGCACTCTGGTCGTGCGAATAATGTACGAGCCATTTGAATAAACAACCACGTGAAACGACTTGGTACTTCCCATTTTAGTTTGCTTAAACCGAGTGCTAGGTATTTTCGTGCGAAACGAGGTATGGATGGCAAGCGCTGAGGTTGGAGAGCAGCAGCATGAAGCTGGTGGTCTAAACGCAGCGATTCAGGATGCTCTTGCCAGCGGTGACGCTCCAGTTGCAGCGGATGAGTCGGAACTGAGATCGACCAAGACAACAGATCAACCTGGCGAGCCGAACTCCAACGACAATGAACTGACAAATGGTCATCCGGGTGACGCCGCAGACGTTCAATCTACATCGAACGCGTTTCCTTTATTAGAGGCACCGACGCTCACAGAGAAAAGTCTACCTGAAAAGCGTCCTAGCAGTGACAGGATGGAGTCGACACAGCTCAAATCTACAGACCCAGGCGAGGTTTATCCTGCTGAGGCGGAAAACAATGAGCAAAGCGTGTCTCTAGGAAACGCCGCAGATGAGGAAGAGGTAGATGATGTCGACCTGGCCCCGCAACTGAGCTCAGAGTCTTTACCTGCCGAAACGGCAAGTTTCTTGGCTTCACTGACAGCGGATTTCGCCCCTGACACGAAAGTCATGTGGGCGCAGATATTTGGGCCTCGCTACGACGATGGGGACGCAGAAGAAGGCTTTCAAGAAGACAATCAGTCCAACGCTGACAGCAGCCGAGAGTCCGTCTCCTCGAAGAGCTCGCTGCAAGCAAAACTGGCTCGTGAACGAAAACTAGATGAACAAATTCAGGCGAGTCAACGACGATATCGAGAGCGGATGCTGCGAAAGGAAGCTGCAAATCATGCGGCAACGAGGAGAGGTCGAGTCAAAAGCTGCCGTCGCCCCCAAGCGCAGATTCCGACGGTCTCTCCTTTTGAACAAGCTGGACTTTCATTGACCCAGATCCGATTTTGCACGGAGAAGGCACTTGATCAAACCTGCAAACGCTTCCGGCATCTCCACGCTGCAGCACTGGAGGAAGCGGAAGACCCTGACCAGCCTCTTATTCGAGGAACTTATATAACCCATGGGGAGCTCGAGCATTTACTCCGAGAGCTGTTCGATCCCCACGAATTCGAACACACACACACGAGGACACGCAAAGGAACAATTGTCGCTCCTCTGGCCTTCAGCCAGAACGACGGAGTACCTATGAAAATTCAACTGCAAGCGAGCTGGTTCATACCATTCGGACAGCTGCAGCAGCTTCGCAGTCTGGTCATGAAGATCACAAAGCGACATCTGAATGAAGAGAAGCTAGCGATCGTGAGCCGACATCTCCAGAAACAACTCACGTTGTTGCCTCTTTCAGCGAAGCTTCAGGGTCTAGTGCTCGAGCTTTCCGACTTTCAACTCAAAGAACCAGAGCAGGCACCGAAAATGTGGCCGGAAGGGAAGATATCCTTGGATGAACTAATTCAAGATCTGCTGGGGTGCATTGCTGTGAAGGAAGCTGCAGTTGTGGGCGACCATTTAGCGACGATGGAGCTTTCCAGTGTTGTGAGCGCTCAGCGACTCGCATTCTTTCGGTATTTAATCGATATCGTAGCAGCAGAGAGAACGCGACTCCACTCAAAGACTGCAGAACCGTCGGGACCGCCAGTTCAAACTCCACTTCGACGGAAAACAAGCACTGACCGACGCAGAAGCACCTTGAAGAAGAAAGTAGCTGAGCATGCGCCAGAGTCAGTCGCCACTAGTTCAAACTGTGAGCAACCAGCAGACGACGAAGAGACCGCATCGATTCGATCAGCTCATGCGAGTTTGCCTAGTGCATCGGAGGTAGACGGAGCTAACGATGGACCAGCTGAAGACGCCAGATTCGAGCCACCTGAACAGATTGGCGATGAATCCGAGAAACCTGCCAGTCAGCTGCAACGACAGCTCGAATTGGCAATCGCCCAGCTTCGACAAACTTTACCCACAGTTGATTCAGACGTCGCGCAGTTGGACCCTGCTATTAGAGCCACGTATCTCGCGGCCGTGGCATGTCAAGAAAGCGTTCTCCTCATGGTTGGTGTTCACTCTGTCGTTTATAAAAAAAACTGCCTGGTCTCACTGCTGTGTGTTTCTCGATTGACCAGCTAGAAAGCAACATCGACGTCGACGCAGCTATGTCCAGCAAACTCACGGATTTCATCGAGGCATTGCAAGACATCAAGATCCGAGCTAACGAGCAAACTGGTGCAAATGCCAGTTTCCCACAACTGGAGATCGAAAACCTGGATTCGGATCTGCGTGACCCACCGCGATTCCCACCGCCGTATTCAGAGTCCACGGCATCAGAAGAAGAAGAAGAAGAAGACAACGCAACCGACGGCAGCACTGTACAGACGCAGTTCCCTCCGCCTTACGCGATAACGTCGCCCTCGTACTGGACGTTCACACCGTCAATTCCTGAGCCCAAGTCTAGCGTCGCTAAGCTAGTGACTACTACGTCGCCTAACATCAAAGCCAGCGCCAAATTCATGGCGAACGACGCACCAGGTACGAAACGAGCGCTACTGCTTCAAAATGTCTTAACAAGCATCCACTTCTGCTCAAACTGTAGGCGTGGGAGCGTACAATATCCAGAAGGGCGAGAAACTCACTTTCCAGCGAAAGCCAAGCTTCTCGTTCGGGCCAACTGAAGGCGGCAGAGACAGAAAAACTCCCAGTGCTTCGCTACCTAAAGGGGGCGTGGGAAAGCACAACTCAAAAGCTACACTACACCCACGGATGAAGACGTCACGTGAGTTTCAGCCTCCGATGCGGCATTCTGCAGATGATACGGACCTCGATGTTGACACAACAAGAACGAGAGGGTCCCAGTACAACGTTAGTCGTCTTGGAACCCGTGGCAGCGCTGATCTACTGAACGATCTCCCACCAGAATACAGCCAAGGAGATGCGAATGAAGCTGCTGAAGAGAGAACAGGCGAAGGGGACGAGACCGAAATGGACCGAGCACTGCGACTGCAGCAACGCATGTTCATGACCGAATTCGTGCAACAAGTGGTGACAAACCAGGAATCACCCACGCATTATAACGATCATAATTGTGGGAAGACTAACCACTCGAGGTCGGCACCTTACTGGGCCACAAGCGACGTCTCTCCAGGCATCGAGAGGTTGCTACACAGACAGCGTCGAGCTCCGTCAGCTACCAAGCTCCGTCCGTCTTCAGCTTCGACCGCCCCCGCCCAGTCTCGAGCGACCAGACGTGTCGGCAAGGAAACCTCAGCACCTCCTCCTCCTCCACGTCGTCAGCTCGATAATGATCAGCACCTCGCGTGGGCCGCACGCATCAGTGAGCTGTATCAACCCGCTGTGCCCACCCCCGACCAGTAGCAGCGAGTATTATTAAAACGGTTTTGAAGCGCTAAACTGCGTCGTAAATCTTAGAACGTTCTAACTAACGTGAAACATAGAGAGAAAGAGCTGTAGCTCCTTGGTGTCGGTCGACTTAGGCGCATTGTCGCTCTGTGGTGGCTTGGTATAAGGCTGCTGCCGTCTTCTTGTCCTCTTAGACTTGTGGCGTAATTGGCGACGTTGCTTGCTGCTGTTTCCATCCTCTAGCGCGTTTTCTCGATCGTCGACAGTCCCATCGTCACTGTCGGCTATGAACGTCGCGATGGCCGCCAGCTGTGCGCTCTGCCGGAAATTGGACGGCAGTTCGTCCATGAACAAGAGCGGCATCTCTTCTTCATCCTCGTCATCAGTTGCGTTGGGAGCTTGCGCCGATTGTGTCGTAGCGGCGGGCGTAGTAGAGTATTTCTTGCTTGTGATCTCCATTACAAGGAAGTATTAATATAAATTCCACAATAGTCGTTCGTGAGTACTAATACCTATTAGCACATGTTTCGGTATTACCGGTACACCTAAGCGTAGTAGTACTTCAAAAAGTCGAATCAGTTTTACAGAGCGTCAAAATACTACTCTTTCGTCAACGTGTATTACATGTATTGCGCGCTGCCTGCTGCTGCTCGAGGTGGCAGGCGGAATTGACACACAACACGATCGGCGCCGGCAGTGGAGAGCAGGAAGTGCTCGTTCTTGGTGACAGCCCAGTTGGTGACCGATGTGGCGTGGCCGTCAACTGCCATCGCTGCACCGTTGAAGTCTTCGCTCTGACTCGTCGACCCGTTCACGAGAGACGGAAAGCGTCTGGATTCCCAGCGAGAATCTCGCACTTGAGCGGGAGGCAGCGTTTTCCACGTACCAAGTTCCCAAAATCGGGCGCCATTATCGTTGCACTGCACGCGAAGCACCGGTCGATCTCGAGCAAAGTCGAGGCGAACCGAGTCGGACTTCTGCGTCGATCCTCGCAACATCGTGATCTTCCTGTAGCTGGCTGCGTTGTGCATATGGATCGTGCCATCTTGACACCCTACCGCCAGGAACTTCCCGTCAGCTGAGTACTGCAGCGTCAGAATAGCGTGCTCTTGTTGCTGATCTGGCCAGCAACTCCACTGGGTCACGACGCCATCAAGTGCCGCGGTGAGTACCCGCACAACTCCGTCGATCGTCCCGACTGCAAGATGCTTGCCATCAGCAGAAAATGCCAACGCGCGCAGCTCACCGTGGCTAGCTGCAACAGTTGCAAACTCGAAAGCGTCGTCCCATCGGTGAAAGGCCAACAACGAGCGTGTTGCAGCATCCCAAAGCCTCACCACACCGTCGTCGCCAGCTGACGCAAATTGAGCGCGTTTGCACGGGTGCACAGCAAGGCCGTCGACTCGACCACTCGTATGACCTCGAATGTAGACGACAAGTCGCCACTCTTTCTCTTGTGTCTTCTGCGTTGAGCCCGTTTCCACTAGCTCACATACTTCACTGCCTGCGGTGGTGAGCAGTACGTGTCCGTCTCGAACAGATAGAGCCTGGATACTCGTGTTTGTCAGTGGGAGTGGCCCTGTATCGAGCTGTGAAATGTCTGCCACCACGCGAACCAACTCGAGCTGTGCATTCCAGACGCAGATGCGAGAATCCGCTCCTGCTGAATAGAGCAGCGAGTGCTTCCGATCCACCGCTAGAGCTGGAATAGGAGCGTCACCGTGCGTATCACGGCGAACCAGCACACAGACGCGATCCTTCCAGACGTACAAACTGCCATCCGATTGACTGGACACCGCAACTCGAGCACGACCAGACATGTGTGCGATCTGAAGCAGTGTCGCTTGTGGGTTACACTCCTTGTGGCTAGAAAGCAGACCGCTCTTCAGTCCTGTCGAACGTGCCTCTTCTTCCACGTTTCTCCCAGAGTTTGTCGTTCCCTGCTGCCAGAAAAGAATGTGTTGGTCTCCGCATGTTGCCAACTCGCCGTCTTCGCCAAAGCTCAAGCCCCAAACTCTCCGAGTTGATGTCTTGCTAGTCGTTAGTAGCGTTGCTCGGAGACGTCCTCCTTCACGTTCGCCTCCAGCAATCGCATAGATCGCTAGAGTATGATCTGGTTCCATTCCAATCGACGCAAGACGGTGTCCTTCCGGGCTGAATTCAAGCAACAGGACACCCGGTTGATGTTTGGAAGCCATCCGAACGACTGTACTGCTGCTGTTGGCGTCCCAGATCACGATTTCTGGAGCCCCAGCTCCCCGTACCAGGCATTCACCCGAGGCAACCAGGTCGCCTTTCGGGTGAACAGCCAACGCCGATACGACACTCAGACGCCCAGGCTCCGTGCTGTAATTGAGAAGCTGCGTTTGTGTTTTTGTATTGTAAACGACACCGCAAGCCCCAGCTGCGTAGACGATTTCCCACGCATCGTCAGCGTAGAACACGTTCCTACTTCCCGTGGCTCCCGGGTTGAGGCCGTAGATAAATTCTAGATAGGCTTGTTCGTCGTCGCTGCGGCTGTCACGTGAGTCATCAAGCCAATTGCCATCGCCCTCTTCGGCGTCGTCAGTGCTTGGACAGATCTTGGGGCGCTGGACTTGAATGCATTCTTCGAAGAGAGTCCTATCCACGGGACTAACGTACCAGGTCGGATCTGTATCCGAGGACGCAGTCGATTTCAAGGCGAACCGCTGGTGTAGACGCAACTCGTCGTCGTAGTCAGTCGTCCACACTGACGCTTGTGTGCTGCCGTTTGAGTTTCGTGCTAGAGCCACGACAAACGCGTTAGCAAAGCTAAAACCCACGCGACGTATCATCGACCCGCGCGAAAAACACCCCGCGAACCTCTTTGTGACAGCTGCAGGGTCACTCGAGCGCTCAATTTTAGCAGAAAGCACAGGAACAGCGACATCACCACGTTTGAGCGGGTACCAGGACAGCATCAAACTGCCATCGTCAAGTCCCGCAATCATCGTGGGAAGCGGTGAGTTCCAATTTTTGGTGTTTGATGCACCGTCCGAGTCTGCCACTTCGCTGTTGATACGCGCTAATGACGTCGTCACCCCAACTCCGCAGCATTCACCGAGGCCCTCCACTGGACCAGCAAACGTGGAGGTCCAAGACGCCCATGCGTCGTCGAGTAGAGCCCACCCAGACGCCGTTTCTCTAGCTGGCGCACCGTTATCGCTTGATTCTTTCTGCAGAGCCCATCGAAGTAGTTGTCTGTTGTTGCTTGAGGTTGCAGACTGGAGGAATTCTCCGTCGATAGAGAAATCGAAAGCCTCGATTGGCGCTGTGTGACCAACAAAAGTGTGGCGAAGGGAATATACCGGTGGAAAATCTGTTCCGGTGTTTTCCATTAGGTACACGTAGATGCAGTAGTCTCGACAAGCTAGTGCCAACCAGCTCCGCGTTGTAGAATGTGACTCGACTTGGCTGAGGAGAGGAGAGTACTTCACCACGGTGCACCACTTTGGAATGCTTGCTGATCTCGTCTGCCCACTCGACGCATTCTCCGTGTCTCCGCAATTGAATTGAACTAATGGCTCCAACGTCGTCCCCTCCAGAATGACAACACTGCCATCAGCGAGAGACACAGCGAGGTGCTCACCATTTGAACTCCACGCAAGTGAGCGTGGGGGACTAGGCATTACTTGCTGTTGTGCCATCAAGTTCGTGTGAAGATTCCAGACGCACACGTGCCCATCAGCACTAGCAGAAGCCCAGCGGAGATCTCGAGGGTGCAGTGCGATGTCGTTGACCTCGCTCCTGAAATTCAGCAGCACTTTCGTTTTCTCGCTTGCTTGACTTGGAGCAGCGGTGGCTTGGCTTGCTGGCATGGATTCTTCGATATTATGCTCCAGATCCAGAGAAACCACTTCGCCATTGCTCAGCACAACGGCAGCGATAGATGAGTCATCCAGTAGGTGCATCCCTTGCACGTACGTGTCGATACTCGAAGCGTTACTTGGAGAACTGGTGCTAAACAGTGGGGATAATGTGCTGCTTGATCTCGGCTTGGTAGCGTCGTACACTGAAATGACTCTCATTTGCTGCAAGAATGTGCTGGCTTGGGTGCGACCTGCTCTGGATTCACGTGCAGTTGCATACCGCCAAACCACTAGTGAGCCGTTGCGTTGAGCAGCAAGAACCACTTGTGACGTCTGTAGATGCTCCAGCGCCACTACTTCGTCACCATTTGAGCTGTGGCTCGAGGCACTCGACGGCCGAACGCTGTGCGCTGCAACGCTGTTCTCCCACAAAACGACAGAGCCATCTTCACCTCCTGTCACTACAAACGGAGCCACAAGAACAACACACAGCATGGTCTGCACTAGAGCGTGACGCCCAAATACTCCTTGCTGAGCAGTGACATGGCCCGTAGCAGGATTGAGATCCCAAAACGTGATGTGATCCACCCCTCCACTAGCAAAAGTCACTCCCGTGTCCGAAGACCCCACAAATCTACCAAACAACACCGGCAGACGCGTCATCGTAGTGTGAGTTAACACGAGTTGGCGCTTCCACGCGTAGAACACGAGCGTGTGTTCGTGCATCCGAGCACTTTTCCAAATCACGGCAGCCAAATCACTTTGAACACTCCGCGTATTGCTGTCGTTGAAGTCGCAGAAAGCCACGGCAATTAGCGTTTTCTTTTCACTGGTGGGGATTACACCAGCCTTGAGAGTCGCGACTTGCTGGAACGAGTCTCCTGAAGCCGAGCCAGACGCAGACGCCTTCTCTGTTCGTAAGAGCACAACACGGCCGTCTCTACGACTTCCCACAGCTAGAAGCGGCTCTGAAGGATGCTTGGCGATACACGACACCGAGTACTGAAGTCCCGTCGGTACAATGCGCTGTCGGGTGCCAAACGAGTGCAAGTGACGCACAATCAGCAGTGGACCTGCACCATACACATACGACCCGTTCCCAAGACAAGAGAGAGACTGGTTCACACTCATACTGCGGTGGTTGAAGCCGTAAACGTAAGATAAGGCCAGCGCCAGATTGGGAGCTTCTGAGCGCTGTGCCTGATGCTCAGACGCTCCTCGCACAGCCAGCGCGTGTGAAACATCTTCTCCGGGTTTTCGAGGCAATGCGAGTCCCTGGATTCCCTCATCTAGTGTACCAACGTCGAAGTATACATCTTTCAGCCCTAGCATTTGCAGCCTCTTCCGAAGCGCTTGATCGTATAGACATGCTGGCCGAGGCTGGACGTCTGCAAGCTCCTTCTCCACTCGCCACTGACAGATTGCTGGGTCATACTGACTGCTGGTGATGATCACACTTCCTCGACGTGCAAAGTCCCCGAACACTGGCGGACGACCTGAAGGTGGTGAATCGAACAGGGAGACCTCTTTTGTGAGGTGAGCTTGCGGTACTTGTCGCGACAACCAGATACTGTCAGAGTTATCACTGAGTGTTGGTGCTGGACACGGAAATGGAGCCAGGTGGACGTCTCCGTCTCCGTTTGAAGCGAGGGTGAGTCCTCGCGTTCTGTTGGCCACCACACTGTCGCTGTCCTGGGAACTTAATTGCAGTCCACCGACTTCCCAGCCGATAGAAGTACTGTGCGTCTGCCATTGGACATTGCGTAGAGTGATCATTGAAGTCACGCGCGTACCTGCACGCTGACGAAGGTCCCAGAAGTACAGCATCGAGCTGCCATGCTGAGTTCGGAGGAAGGCACCGTCGACGCTAAAGTCTAGCGCATGCGCGTGCGTCACCTCTGAGCCATTTCCACCAGTACCGACCTCTGCCTGAGGTTTTAAAAGCATATATCGAGAGACACGCCGACCACCAGGCTCGAGTTTGTAGAGATAAATGAGTCCGTTGTCACGCGCGACAGCAAGCAATGACTCGGTCTTTGACGGCCCAAACCGCATCGCAACCACCGCTGAGCTTGTGTTCTTCATCGTCGTCTCAATCGTCATGACGCTACTCGACGCCGCACCAGTTCGTCGAGCCAGCATCACCGTTCCGTCCTCGCTGCCGACAGCGAGACGCTCTCCGTCACTGCTGAACTCCAAAGCACTTGGAGTAGCAGAGGCCCCAGGAAAACGTAGATGCTGGACGAATGCGCGGCGACGGAGATTCCAAATCTTGACAAAGTGTTCGCCAACGCCACATGAAGCAAAGCAACCGCCTACGGTACTGGCAGTCGCAATGCTCGTCGTGGGTTGTCCTGTGTGCCCCGAAGCCACGATTTTCCATCGGAAAGTGGCGGCAGAAGACGAGGAAGTGGCCGGCACTTCATCGTCGATCTCAAAGATGGCTCCTCTTCGAGTGGAGACGACGAATCGTCTCCTGTGGGCATCGTAATCCAGCGAGCAAATGCGAAAATCATCCCCTTCGAGAACGTTTTTCGGTCGGGAAAGAGGAGCCGACGATGAAGACGATGAAGCGGCCTCAGGAGCGGAGAGCAGAGCGTGCAGATCTAGCGACTGCCCAATTGGACGCAGAGTGGAATCCCATTGCTTGATCCGACCATCTTTGCCCGCTGAAAACAGCACCATCGACTGACACGATAACCTGCACACGTTGACGCTGGTCTGAGGGTCATGTGCCTGGATACAACGCGTCAGGGTGTGGCGTTCGAACAGCAACAACTCGCCACGAGCGGTCCCAATGACAGCGGTCTGTATCCCGTAGTAAGCCGCACTAAGACACACAGGTATTGTGTGCAAAGGCGGATCAGCAGTCCCATGCCAGTGCGGTTTCTTGTGCTTGAAGAAGCGACCGCCAACGTGATGAAACACCGCAAAGTGAGCTCCGACGACGACAATCTCGTCGCCGTCTTCGTTGAGTGCAAGAGCCAGAGGGCGTTTGCTGCATCTTGCTCTCCTTCCACTTGCTGCTGGATGTGCTCGGCCCGAGGCCACTACCGCTTCTTTCTGCCAGTTCCACAACGCCATGGACGCGCCATCGTCGCTCCCAATGGACGCAATTAAAGCCTCCGTCTCATGTGGTTTCTTTTTCATCAAGTTGCTGCTCAAGACCGCGGATGAATTCCCACCCGCTCCACCACGCTCTCCAATCGACACCGCCTGGGTTTGTCGGAGTGTGGCGGTAGAAGCTGACGCAGCAGCAGGAAAACTAACGTGTGCGACTCCAGCAGGATGAAAGTTGCGCAATACCGCTAGACATTGAAGGCTTCTCGCGCTCCAGACGTGAATTTCAGCTCCAGCTTTGCTGCTCGGCGTGCTGGTGGAGCAGGCATCTCCTGTTGCGACGATCTCCCCACTGGCGTTCACATCCAGACATCCAATTGCGCGTCTGTGTCCACGATAGTAGCGCTGCTCGTGGCGTTCGGAAGAGCACACAACAGCGTAACCCCCCACGAAATAAACCGCCTCACCCGTAGCTAACAGGCGACATGCGTTTCGAGCTGACGGTCCACTGGTCCCGTAAACCCACTCTAGCTGTAAATTTACAGGAGGAGGCATCCCGTTCTTCTTGCAGACAGACGCAGTACTATGTCGTAGTGGCTGAGAGACTGGCTCCACCATCCAAGGCGGGGGCACCTCCGCCAGTTTGCGGTTGTTCCTAAGCGCCAATTCAGCTGAGCCCTGACGCTTGTTTGGGGTTCTCACATCCTCCACGTCCAGATCGGAATCTTCGTCACTGTCATCGGGGAGTGAGAGAGCGTCCTCGAAGCCCACAGCTTTCTCCGCAATAAGGCGGAAGCGCTCCACTTGCAGCATGAACTCGCGGTTGCGACGTGCCCAGGCGATGAAATCCTCAAAGCCAAGCACTGGCGTTTCCTTGTCCATACGAGAGAAGGCATTTTCTGCTAGTCCGAGACATTGCATCATCGTCTCCATTGAGCTGTTGGCGTCTAGTGCAGACTGCAACGTCGAGCTTTCAGGGCCTCCTCCAGTTAACAGTGTCATGCCGATCAACACAGACTTCATCAAGAGTGCCTGGACACTAACAGCTTAGCAACACACACGAGCATAGAGGCAAGACAGGCAACCGAAACACACACACCAGTTCTGCCAGCGATAAAGACCCGTTGTGATTAAAGTCAAAGAGATCGAAGGCGACTGAGGCAAAGAGCTCAGTTAGTCACGCTCAGAAGACAGTTAAAGTCCTGTCGCTACGTACATCTCGCCTTGTCCTCGAAGGTTGCACGGCAGACACAAGCCAGTGCTGCCAATAGTTCCAACCCGTCCACGCGCCCGTCGTGATTGGCATCCAGGACCTCGAAAACCTCTTCGATCCCGACACTCTCAGGCGATTTCAGCAGCAAGAGACTCTCGAACTGACTCGCAGTGACGGCGAAACCAAACGTTTTCTTGAAGCGGCAATGCAACTGCTCCACATCCGCCAATGTCCCTGTTCAGAGCGCACGCGCAACGTCTATATGAGCTTTCACTTGGAGTCGCAGCTGGGCAGGGAAAGGCTCTCACATCTCGCAAACTCTCTCGTCTCGCGTCGGAGCTCCACGTCGGCATCCACGAGCCGAAATTGGGTCCCGTTAGCAGCCCCCATTGATCGACGCAACAATCGGAACTCGATTAGGAAAAAAAGTATCTTTTCACTACGCCTCTTGAAGTGCCGAGTGTGGTGCACATAAGTTGAAGTGAAAGCTCAGCTTTACTGTAATAAAACAGCTTTTTCCCCAAGACAAGATCCAAAAACAGAGCAGCTATTATCCGATATAACGTTAGTAAACCGATGATGACCTTCAAATCAGGCGGCGTGGGGCGCATCCTACGTTTGTCAGGGCCGCACAAGCCGCCACGAGGTTTCCACGGGACTAGAGGCTCTTCCGTACTCTAGAGCATTGCTGTGATTCGCCTTTCTTGCAGCTGCAGCATTTAAGTCCAGCGGCACCAATTTGGAGCTCCAGACATGATTGGGATTCCAATTGCGTTGCACGATATAGCACGGACCCGACGCAGTCCAGCGTTGGCAGGTGAATTGATCGTTGCTTCAACATTAACATTTGACTTGGGAACGCGCGCGTCGAGTTCCTCATTCCCCTACTTGTCAGCGTAAACTCACGACTAGCTGGAGCGCAACCAAACTATCGGATAGGAGGAAAAAATAGAAAAGAGAACGACCCTTGCTGGACGAAACAGTCCGTCTTCGCTAGCCCATTGAGCCAGTGCAACGCTCTCCCTTCTACGCTGGCATGCTACCTTGCCATTAAGCGTTTTCCGCGCTTCCGGAGCTCCTCATCAGCCTGCAGAGGAGAGACACTAAAAAACGACACTCTTAGACTGGCGCAGGTCGCGCGTGGTATTCGAGTCGAGCGCGATCAACTGCGGCGAATAGAGCAGTCGGTTGGCAGTAACGGAAAATTAAACTCGACGATGGACCAACTCTTCATCGCCTGGCAGCTCACGGCTTTGATCTCGAGTCTGCTGTCGAGTGGAGCCATGATTTTCTTCTTCATCAGGTATCCGAGCATAAGGGTGCATCCAGGCATGGTTCTTATGTGTATTTTCATGAGTGTGAGCATCGCGAGCATCATGCGCGTCGGCCTGCATGCGTGGTACATTCTACTAAACCCGGGCGACGTCGGAGGATCCGTTCCAGCGACACTGAGCAGGATAGCCAACGAGGAGCTCGGACATGACGCAGGCGCACTGGAAGCCTACGTTCCTTTCTTCTTTTGGTGCTACTTCTTCTTCAGTACGTCGGCGACACTCTGGTTCCTGATGCTGGCACTGGACCTCATTTTCTCGCTATCCAACCCGTTTCTGCCGTTCAACGCCGACAACCTAAAGCACCACATCTTCGCGTGGCCTGCTGCGTTGCTGTACTGTTTAATCTTCCGCTACATTTTGGGGAAATTCCAGTCGAAGCTCACTGCAAACGTTGTGCTGTACTTTGATCTCCCAGCCTATATCGTGCTGCTCTACATCGGTTGCGCACTTGTTCAGTCCAGACGGCGCATCCGAATACTCGAAAGCCACGCGCACGCGACCACGGAACGGATGGCTAAACGCATTCGACCATACTTGGGGGTATTTGCCATCCACACGATGATTGCCTTGGCCATCTACCTGGTTCAGCTAGGAACGGAGTTTGGCAGAATGACACCCAACGCATTGGATCAGCTGTCACTCGTGCTTGAGACTTTAGCACTATTTGCTCTGTTCTGTCGCGACGCAGGAGTCTTCAAGACACCTTCGCAACCACGTGCAGTCGACAGCAGTCGAGGTGACAGTAACTCCAGTAATCCGTCGAGAACTACCATTACCCAGATCGAAGCTGGAGCCGCAACGCTAACGTCGACGACCGGGGCAGCAGCTCCACTATCTGACAACGGAGGCGCGGAGAAGATCGACGTATCGAACAAGCTTCGCATGGATGTGATGCGGTACATGTCGAAAGGGATAATGAGGTCTATCGAAATGGCGCAGGCTGTCGAAAGGAAAGCGTTGCGAGGCAGTGCGAGCGAGGTCACGGGCTCAGACACTGCAATCGATGTCGGTGGCTACTCGAGCGTCAGCTACAATGATTACACTCACGTGGAGAGTATGGGTGTTGTGGTTGTCGGTGAGAAAGGAGGGACGATGCTCAGCTTTCGAGACTGTGCTCCGAAGATTTTCCACCGCATTCGAGCGCAGTTTAATATCGACCAAGACTTTTATAGGGAATCCTTCGACCCGTCTCGCATTCTGAGCGAGCACGGCTCGGAGGGAAAGAGCGGCAACATCTTTTACTTCACTGGTGCGATGAGTCGATGTGTCTAACTGCTACTGCAAATTACGTAGTAAACGCTAACGTTTGTTGTGAGAGCAGCAAACAAGCAGTTTATGGTGAAAAGTGTGCCGAAGGAGGAGTTCGATACGCTGCGAGCAATCCTGTATGCTACTTTAAAATCTCACCGCACACAGCGCCTTCCTCGGACTAATTCTGCAACTCTTGTTATCTATGATAGGCCTCATTACCACGAGTACCTTCAGTCGAATCCCAACTCGATGTTGTGTCGGTACTTCGGCTGCCACTCGATCTCGCTTCCTATCGGCAAGCGGCGAATGTATTTTGTCGTGATGCAAAACTTATTCAACGAAGGTCCTGTAGACCAGCGATTCGACCTCAAGGGAAACCGTGATCGACGACAGGCCGTAAGTGCTGCGACAATGGAGGGTCTCATTGAGGTTGCCAAGGACCGCAAAGCCATCGGCCAGCTCCTAATGGACATCGATTTCCTCAAGATCAGCTCCGGTATTTCACTCTCATATGCGAATACTGCTCAACAGCAAGATCAGCTCTGCAGTGACTTCGTTTTCCTTGCAAGTCGTGGTATCATCGACTACAGTATTCTCCTTGGTGTTCGCTACGAAAACCCGGAGAAGCGCAGGTCGCATCAAAATGGACTCACATCTCACGATCAGAACGAGGTGTACTATGTCGGCATTGTGGATATGCTGCAGCGCTACAACTGGCGCTGGACAGTGCAGCGTTGGTTTCTAGGCTGCCTGCTCTGTAAAGACACCCACGACGTCAGCGCTGTACCCCCCGACGAGTACGCGACTCGACTGGCAGACTTTGTACGTGAGAAGCTGTTCGACATCCAGGAAAACACCAGCGGACCGAGCTTCCGAAATGTCCATAGCAGGAACATCCAGAGCGATCATACGGGAGAAAGTGGCTACAGCGGCATATCTTCTCGAGATGCGTCGTCGCCTCCCACGTCGATGAGTGTTGGAATCTTAGAGTCCAGCGACATCCCGTCGATTGAGATGCAGCGTCTGTCCGTGATTTCAGCCTGTTCGCTGGACGCCATAGGCATCGAGCCGTCGTCTTTGTCCTCGTCTCCGTCGGTCGCGTATTCGTCCGTATGTGAAAGTCCCATAGAGGTGCCGGAAACCCGTAAGACCACCATGTTCTTCGTCTGATTAATAGACGAGATCGAAAGTGATTTATAAAAAAATGCCCAACTTACATGTATCTATCCATTGAGAAAAAACTTTGTAGTCAAGCACTTCAACTTTGCTACACAAATCACATGTACCACCAATTCGGTACTCAAAAGCATTTGCAAAACGAAGTGAAAATGGAGGAGGAGGGTGAGCGCAGTGATGGCTCGTTATCTCCGCCCACACAGCACTAAACTGATGTGTTACCGAATTGCCGTATTGTATTCAGCATCAGCATCGGCTGGATATGCGTGGGAGGGTGCGCTTGAGCGTAGCTGGGACGTGATCGAGGAGGACGACTCGGGCAACCTCAAGATCGACCAGGCCGTCAAGAAACAGCAGCGCCAGCGGTGCGCACTGAGCTAGTAACATTCGTGATAACGCTGCACTAATCTGCTTCCATGCGTCATGTCTCTGTAGACGCCTCGAGATCGCGCGCAATGTACGAAAAGGACTGATTCGCTACACGTACGTGGTGATGGATTTGTCGCGCGGTATGGCCACCAAAGACTGGAAGCCTCATCGCCTGGCGCGCACCAGTGAGGTGCTACAGCAGTTCGTCAAGGACTACTTCGACCAGAACCCCATCTCCCAGTTGGGTATCATTGGCATTAAAGGCATGACGGCCGAGAAGCTCAGCGACCTGTCAGGTAACCCCAAGACCCACATCGAGCGCATCGCTGCAGCCTTAGCTGTGGACAAGGAGCCATCACTTCAGAACGCACTAGATATCGCTCGGAATTCCTTGAAAACCGTGCCAGCCTATGGCAGTCGGGAGGTTGTCGTGGTCTACGGAAATTTGGTGACCGCCGACCCGGGTGATATCTTCCAGACGCTGGCGTCCCTAAAGCGAGAGAACATCCGAGTGTCGTTCATTGGCATCGGAGCTGAGATGCATTTGCTGCGGCGCATTGCGGACGGAACAGACGGCACGTACCATGTTGCGGTGGACGCTGACCATATGAAGAGACTCATGACAGCGTTCACGTTCCCGTCGCCAACGGTGGCGACGGCGGCCTCGCGCTTTGCCACGCTCGTGGAGATGGGGTTCCCTCAGCGTCGTAGTGGAGCTTTGTCGCTCTGTACCTGCCACCAAGCGTTCACTACCGTAGGATATCTGTGCCCACGCTGCAAGTCCAAGAGCTGCGATCTACCGACTACCTGCCAAGTGTGCAACCTGCCGTTAGTGTCGTCACCGCATCTCGCACGATCCTACCACCATTTGTTTCCGGTGGCCAAGTTCGCACAGCATCTACTACGGTCGGGTGCGACCGGCGAGAAGGGAGCGAAAATCTCCCCCGAGTTGGTGCAGAAGAAGTGCTTTGGCTGTCTGTTGCTACTCGGACTGGACGGCGAAGGAGCCGCGTACGAGTGCGCTACGTGCCAGAACGTCTTTTGCAGCGAGTGCGATACGTACGTGCACGACTCGCTGCACAACTGCCCAGGCTGTAGTTGAAGTCGATAAGTGTTCACTAATGGAGGCGTGGGATCTTCGATGCCATGTACGAATCTTTGATACAAATAACATTGCATCAACCCAGCAGATATTCTCCATAAAAACCAGCAAACAACTAGCCATTCTGCTGGGCAGTTTTCAAATGTAATAGGAGGGTGCTGCGCTCAGACTGGGAGGGTGAAGAAACACTAACCCATTTGTAGCTTTATGTGCCTTGGCCTTGGTTGATTGAGATTTAAGAAGCGCTTCCATTGACGAAATGAAAACATAGGTTTCGCATAAATACTTATGCTTTAAAGATACCCTAACCCTACTGACGCCCCTTTACGAACTGCTTGGTTTTTGCAAAAGTCTGTCTGAAGTAACTTCCGCGTCCAGAAACAACAAAATATGCAGCTCTCGATTGCATGTCCAATCGGAGCACTTTGTTCTATTCGTTTTCGCGGGCACAGAAAATGTGAAAAAATATTGAATGTGTAAAAAGTTCGAAGGTGAACAAAAATAAGTTGTAGAAGGCCTCGAGTGCGTAAAGGAATTGACAGACTGAGAGTTCTATCACAAGACTAAATATACTACAGCAAGACCAAAAATACTGATGAAAGAATATATGACTTGCACTATAGGTGGGTATGTTTCGACTTAACAACCCGACGATTCCTGTCCAGGCGAATGCACCGTGCTAGCGTATCGATTGTAAGAACATTCAGGCTAAACCCGGTGGTGTCTTTCAGCCAGTGCTTCGTGTAGTATGCATTATACATTGCCAGTATAGAATCGGTCGCGTTTTTGGCATCTGAAGCTCCCATTTGAACAGCGAAATCTCTCACATCACTCCCAATCAGCTTGGCAACACTCAGCCGGCTAGCCAAAACACCACTCCGCTTCTCTCCAAAGCCGTCCACTTAATAACAGGCTTAAATAGGTGGCGAGCGGCGTCAGCGTTCCAGTACATTTTGTACATATCCCTCCAGTTCTTTGCCGGCGCAAGAATTGATATCGGCTCTTTGCAGGATTTACCGACCGTATGTTCTTGTCTAGTGCTTGCAGTGCGGTGCTCAGTCGGCTGAATCATGGTCACAAGCATGTCGATCTTGTCTTCAATAGCTTTTATTGATTTCTCAACGGTTTTTAGTCTCGTTTCGATTGACGGGGGGGGATGGAACATGAGTCGCTTTGTTACGTTTGCGTCGAGAAAATGTAGTAGGGCACCCTACATGAGCTTCGCGATCAGGAGCTAAGCTGTCGGCAAGTTGGGTGTCTTCATCAGTTGCTGCTTGATCTAAGAGATATCGCACCAGGGTTTCTGCTGACTCGTTTTGAGTCCACCCAGCCCACCACTTTACCATGCGAAGTGACCATCGTCGTTCAGGCGGCGCGAACATAAATCTGTACTGGGCGCCAGCGCGGCGGAATGTGTGAGAAGTGAGCCAGATATCTCGCCACTGTCGTCGAACGTAGCCCCGGGTGGTCACCCCATTGCGATTGAGATCTCGAACTACACAGTTTAGCAATGTGATGAATGCCTGTTCGGACATATTCTTACCCCACTCGACCCGTGTATTCTCGCAACCTGTATATGCAGCGTCTGTCTTGATAACACTCTTCGATATATTTGATAGCGCAGGGAAAATGTAGTCACCGTTGTCCCACTTGTGATCGGTTTTTGTTTCAACGTACGTCAGCCATGTCGTCAGATGAGTAAGTACATCCAGCGGACTCTCGCTGTCATCCAGATAATGCATGTTGTAGCAGCGGCCTTCAGCAACTTCTGTCTTCCTTCCTTCAATTTTGTACACGCCATAGCTAATCGAAACTTCGGGGTCGGAGGCGCTCGGTCGCACAAGACCCAATGTAACGTTCTTCCACTTGAGACTGAGCACTTCATTAATCCGGCACATACCGTAGAAAGCAAAAGCGGAGACAGCGAGGAACTACAAACGACTTGCTTCCGTGAACCCGAGGGCGACCTCCAAGTGGGAGTGGAGTACTCGGAGCATATCCAACGAAATTGGTGTCGCTTGGCGCTGCGTGAATTCACTGTTCTTGCGCTTCTTCAGTCCGCGCATAAACTGACGGACAAACGCATCCTTGGCTGGATTACTAAGTCCATACTTGTTACCTTGATCGTCTGTGAGTACCATCCACTTGTCAGGTCCTACTGCGTCTCGACGTTCGTAACCTCCGTAGTAGTTTGCTACAGCTGCGCGAATCTTCTCTGCGGTTTAATTGGAAACCGAAGCGGATGCAGAGACACTTTCCACGAAGGGGACTAGTAGAGAAGGTAGCTCGTGATGTGTCGTAAGCGCTGGGTCGGGATACTCATTGGCGATACAAAACTCGCAGAACTTCCTGAAATATGATGCATACACATTCCTTGTGTCCTGCTTAATCACGTGTGTTGCTGTGTCGATACCGCCTTGTAACAGCTCTTGGAATGATGCGGGGTGTCCTGCCATAAATACGATAGACACAGGCTGGGTATATGCTTGTCGTCCAGCCAAAATAACAATGAGCTGCAGAACCAATCATTTAAAGATTCGTACTTTTAGTCTTGTTTATTATTAAGAGTCTTGTTTAGTACTTAGAGTCTAGTTTAGTACTTAGAGTCTTGTTGTTAGGGGGTAAATCCGATTAGTTAAAATTAAAACAGAAACTATTCCTTAATCTTCGTCACTATCCTTCTTCACTATCCGAATCAAAACCAAACACCGCCCGAAAGCGACGCTCGTCCGTCAGATCCTTCTCCTTTTTCTGTATCTTGTTCTCATATATCTTGTCTTTCTCGATAAAGCCCGCCATATATATCCCTTCAAACTCAGCTAAACTTGCACAATTCTTGCCTTCTTTGAAGCTGTCAATTTCATTTTAAATTGGAGCTCTGAGAGCTGCGTTTTGGGCCTGTATCTCCTCACAACTGGTAAGCCACCGCTTGACGCGCTCGTTATACGTCGTTCGTAAAAAGGCAAGATATTTTTGAAGGCGGACCCTCTCTCCAAAAATAGTATGAGCGTCCGCATCGAGCATTTGTGCCTTGTAATGACCGAATACCTTGCATGATATTTGAAGCAAACTCTCAGCAGGCTCTCCTTGAATATCTGGTGGCATCCAATGGCGCTTGTCAGGATGCAGAAGAAGGTAGGCCTTTCGGAACCACGCCTTTGACAGCAAGTCGATTTCGTCCATCTAATAATAAAAGGCAGTCACTGTTAGTGTTTAGCTGAAAACTTACCGGAATATCTGTACCTGAGCAAAACTGTACTCAAACAGCGGTCCGTTTTGACTGAGCTTCTTAAGGGGGTGTTGTCTTAGCCCTTTCGGCTGTGGTTTGTCAGGGAGAGCGTCGTGCTCCACCTCTCTAAGCTCCTGTCGGAGCGCTGGCATTATTAGATACAAATAGTAAGTACCACAATTGTGTATAAAATACAAGATACTCACGGTACCTTCGAGTTTCTGGAATAGTTGTGTAGCGCGGCGAGAACGCTGCTCGGAGACGCGCTTGGCGCGGTGCTTAACACACGACCTCTTGCGAATATCAGCCCTGGATTCACGCGCTTTTATCCCCTTGCACTTCTTCGCGTGCTTTGAGAAGTTCGTGCGAGATATCGATCTCTTACACTTCACGCATTCTTTTGTCGTGGCACTGCCGTACGGCACCTTTGTCATTTTGTTTTGGAGTATTTGCAGAAATTGATAGTGGTCACGGGTTTTAGGTAACGTTGGGCTTGTACGAAGCGAAGGGAAGAGAGTCACCACTCGGGGAGTAGACCGGAGCGAAGACACTTGAGGGGAAGAAGGGAGATTTCGAAGTGATTGATTTATCGGAGCTTACACAGTCCTCACTACCTAGGTCATCCAATCAATTGGTGCATCCAATCACCAACATTCTGCACTCGTCCAATCATCCTACTCGTCTAATCATCGTACCGTAATTATCGCGGGATCGTGTTGGACCGGTTTGGTTACCGGTTTATGGGTACTTACCGCCTGAAACCGGTACCCCTCAATACGCCCCCTCAATGCGAACACGCGTTGACTCCGAGCGCCGCCGTAAGGTCCTTGTGACGTGGCCCTGGAAGCGTCTTCATCATGATGTCCGCCAGCATCACAGAGGTCTCGCAGTACTCCAGCTTGACCTCACCTCGCTTGACCTCATCACGAATGTGATGGTACTTGATGTCGATGTGCTTGGCACGACCATGGTTCACTGGGTTCTTGGTCATCTTGATGCACGACTGGTTGTCTTCGAGGATCTTGAGCTCTGGTCCCGATTCCCCTGCTGCCGTCAAAATCTCGCAAAGTAGTCGGTGAACCCACTTGGCTTCTTGAATAGCTAAACTTAGCGCGATGTATTCTGCCTCGCTTGTTGACAACGACACACTTGGCTGCTTTTTGCTCCCCCAACTCACGAGTGCGCTCATCAAAAGAAACGTGTAGCCCGAAGTTGACTTGCGATCGGAGTGGTCACCAGCCCAGTCTGCGTCAGAGTACCCGCGGAAATCCACTTTGTCACCAGGCTTGAAGCAGATTCCATGCGACTTAGTTCCTTGTAGATAGCGAAAGATGCGCTTTACAGCAGCCCAGTGCTCGACTTGTGGGTTCTCCATGAAGCGAGAAACGTATCCCACGGCTAAGGCAATGTCCGGTCGTGTCGCGGTCATCAAGTGCATGAGTGCACCTACAGCCTCGCGGAACTAAGCGTTCACCTTGGTCGATGCACTACTTGGGACTAGTCGAGAGCTCAAATCAGCTGGACTCACCACTCATCCATACCAAAAGGCTTAAGGATGTCGTATCGGCGCTGGCACATCGTCACACTCCCGTCAGCGCTGTACACCAATTCGATTCCCAGTACGAACGCACACTTGCCACTGTCGGTCATCTCGAAGCGCTTCTTGAGATCGCTCTTGGTGGTTGCAATGAGCTCGGCCGAGCTACCAGTCACCAAAACGTCGTCTACGTAGACCAGCAGAAGCACACAGTGACCATCCACAATCTTGATG